TAATTGTGATCTTCATTTACATATATAAACGTAAAATATGGGTATCCAAATAAAATAAACCCAGTTTTTTATCTGGAAATTATTGGTCTATCATCTCTTGTTAAGACAGTTGTTTCGCGTCATTCTTTGATTTTTATTTATAAAATTTTGTTAGCACCATTCCTTTTTGATTAAAGGCCCTATTTTTAAGCCCTTTATAAAAAATCAAGAAGGCATCACTATTACCATAAATTCCAACCAAGCTGAATTTTTAAGCTAATTCTTAGTTCATTGCGTTAAATTCAAACCCTTAATCACTGTCGCAATCTAAGTGCAAAAGTAGGCTTGAATTTTGAGGTAAATCTGTTCATTAAATTCACATTTCCTCCGAGATTAGTGTCGATAAGCTATCTTATTTACTATTAAATTTACTTACTAGAGACAATTGATGGGGTTCAGTGGAGGCCCGTTGGGAATGCTGATTAGAAAGAGCATAAGTCAAAAATGCGATCCATCCTAGATGGTGAGGCCTCACGAAAGGCGGGTTAAATGATTATCTTCAACTGGTTTGATTTGTTTCTCTTTAATAATTCTAAGATGCTAAATCTAGTCTAGCCTTGTTAGAATATTTCTCCATATTGCCCATAACGTTCAATTTTATTATTTTGATACAACTATCTTTATATTTCATCTTATATTTACCATAATTCTACTTCGATATTTTTTATTCACATTAGTACTGATCTTAAACAGATACAAAATATACTTGAAATCTTTAGTACTACCTCCTTTGATAACTACTTATCAACTGGCTTTTAATTGACAAAGGTTTTTAATTTACTTACTGTATATTCAAGATTTCCATGGTGCATTTCCTTGCTATCTAAAATATCTAAACTCCCATGAACTGAGAGGTGATTGAAATATGCGTATTATTCTTGAATGCCTTTTGAATCTTTCTGAGTTTTTATCATACGTGTATTTCTGCCTGTTTATAGCACATCACTATTTTGGCTATACTTACTAATTCAGATACTCGGCTTCTATTAAAACTATTAAATATGTATAGACATGCATGTGTTCTTTTATTATTCAAAATTGATTGGAAAGTTACTTAGAATCCTGATAAATAATATGGTTTTGTAGATACGAAGAAAAACTTGGTTTCGATGAATCTCCTGAGATAACATTGTTAGGGGACCTTTATTTCGTATGAAAGTGCATGATGAAGAGATTCGTTAGTCGATCTCATTAGATGAGGACGTATGAAACTCGTACTGCAGCCGGTTGGATTTTATACGATATTCATGTTGACGCAGTCACGGGACTTCCTCCCTCGTTTCGGGTGAAAACGTGCTATGCTATGAAGGACTTCAGCAGAGCTGGGCGTCATTCTTCTAAAAGGCAAATGTTAACACTAGGCAAAGACTATCCTGCTTTATCTTACCTATTATATAGACTCAGTTACGCTTAAAGAAAATTAAAAATCAAAAACCTAGATTGATATATAGTGGTTTGGCTAATTATCTTGTCCTGCTACTTTTGCTTGAGTGCATGTTTGTGTGAGTTAGCGTGGAGTGCGTTAACATGAATATCGTATAAAATCCAACCGGCTGCAGTACAACAAGTTTCATCCGTCCTCATCTGGTAAGATCGGCCAACGAATTTCTTCTTCATCCACTTTCATGCGAAATAAAGGCCCTCTTTACAATATGGTTTTGGCCTAAAAATTTATGAAATTAAATTCTATTAGCAAATATTCCGAGTAAATCAGCTACCTTTTTTGCTTTTCATTCCCAATTTTTATCTTAGGTCACGGATGTCATAGTTCTCAATGAGACACGAGGCACACCGGATGCTCTCATTGTTAGTCACCTACCTTTTGGGCCTACAGCCAAGTTCACCCTTTTTAATGTATTGCCTCGTCACGATATGGAGGCTTTAGGCAGAGGCACTGGAGCCAAAATGCCACAGGCTTTCCCGCAACTTCTCTTCCATGGCTTGACTACTCCCCTTGGCCAAAGAGTGCGCTCTATTCTTAAATACCTCTTTCCTGTTCCCCGAGAGGATAGCAAGCGCGTGATAACTTTGTTCGAAGAAGGGGATGCTATTCGATTCAGGTAAGTGTCCTTTCTTAATCCAATGCTTAGATATACTGTGACATTAATGATTAACTAATTGGTATATGTAAAAGGCCTCTGAATCCTATTGTAATTTAGTTTTCTTATACCATTTTACTTCAGCTAGTATGCACTCCCTATTTCCTCATAGATACCGTTTCTCATGACTTTTCTTTGTTATGCAGCAATCTAATCGCTTTCATTTCGTTTTAAAATGTGTACGCAATCAAGAAAATCTTTGATGTGCTTCATCAACGTTAAAAGATGTCCTTTGGCCTGTTAAAGGTTAATCTAAACGAACCTTCCTGAAATTTTCTTTATTCTCCAATACCTTTCATCATTGGTAGATTCGTGTTTAACTCTTGCCTTTAATTTAGTTTATATTTTCAAAATAACGCCACATTCTCTTCAAAATGTCATGTCTATTTAGTCAATAAGAGCTATCGATGGTTATCGAAGTAATGTTGGTTTTATAGAAGTGGTTTGACCTCATTTTCGCAACCTGGCTCTATTGTCAGCGAGACACGATCCATCCTTTAACATGGTAATATGCTAATTTTCAGCGTCGGACCGTGGACTTTGTACATTCTCAGACGTTTAACCCATCTATGAGCCTTGTCATTATTAGAGTCACGCTACAAGTCGTTAAAGAGACAAGTAAAGTCGATGCTGTGACCAACTTTCTACA